CGATAAGACATAATGTCAAATGCCAAGTCATTATTTCACAAGTAACTTAAGAAACTCCATCTTTGCTTCATCAGTTGTCAAAACATAAAAGCTTCATGATTTTGCTTTTTGATAAAGACAAGTAATGCTTGTAAAAATTCGTTGGAACCTTCACGAAAATTGGGAAACTTGATGACAATGACCATGGAATCTGCTATTGTTGGGGGAAGGATTGTTTTGTAGATAAGTTTGTGTGCTTTTTGTTGATATGACATCCAATAAAGCATCTACTTTTTCCTTATAAATTGAAATTTTACTCTTGGTTGAACGGTTGTTGGAAACAATCTTAGACCTCTTCCTTTTACTTGAACTGCTTTCATCGAAACTAGGAAAAAGAGGCTCATCATCATCTAAATTGATTTCATCACTATCTCCTTTTCCCTCTATATTTTCTTCGTTCGAATTGCTATTGTTTTGAAATTGTAACGGTATGACAACCATCAATTTCCGATAAAGTCAAATTCAAATAAAGTCAACAGGTCATACCGGCCAACTCATCTAACCCTTGTATATTAGGGTTTACATTATGTTACTATTGTACAACTCACTATTTTAATAACAAGTTATCTCTTGGGAAGATCATCCGTTCAAAAATTCCAAACCCTAATCGGGTTAAGTGATGAAACTATTCGATAAAACATTATTCCATACCCCTCGGGGGCATATAACCATCATAACGTAGCTTAACGGGGTGTAAGGACCTTGCGTTGCGAAGCTAAACATCCAAAAATGTCACAAACAAAGTCTCTCTCAATCTCTCTTTATCAATCTATCTCTCTCCCAAATCTCTCTCACAATCTCCTTAAACTTTTTATAATGATTTGGGGGCATCCTGACCCTTAATTTAGCCAAAAACCTCGCAACACGAGAAGAAATCTTGAAAACCAACTTTATAGGGGCGAACCCTCTTAGGGTCGAAACCCTAAGAAGCGAAGCCCCTATGAACTTAAGAACCGAAGTCGAACCGAGAGAGGGAACCGAAATAGAAGCAAGAGAAACCGAGAGAAGGGACCGAAACAACAGCAAGCGAAACCGAGAGAGGGGACCGAACTCGCTAAAACCGAACTTCGCATGACCGAACCCGAAACCCGGAGGACCGAACTTACCTTCGCCTTCGCCTCTTCGCCTGCGAGATTCCTTGGACCGAACCACCTTTTGGTTCTCTTCCACAACCGAACCCACCTTCGGTTCTAGACTCTCAGGGACCGAGCCCTCGGCTCCAAAATCAGAAATTTCACAGATTTCGCCCTTCTTCCCGGTTTTCGACCATTTTCGCGTTTTAAGCCCGTTATTCATGATTTTGATGTGAGATTTTCACCAAAAATCATATTTTGACATATAAGACCCTAAATATTCATAATTTAAACACATTTTAAGGAAATCTTTATTTAAGAATAAAATCTAGTGGGTAAGATATTAAGGTGGAATGTTGACTTTACCTTAATGTTATGACACAAGCAACCCACCACAACCATTCCAGGGCCATACTCAGTCACTATTCCTCCATACTTAGTCAACTAGTTGTCCTTTCACACTATTTCACCAGCCCATAATCAAATCAAAGGGCTAGAAATCTTCACTTCTCCTCCCATATTATTCACTCTTTCTCAAAGAAGAATCAAACCCATTTCTCTCTCACTTTCTCTAAACTCAAGTTTGGAGGTTGTTCTTGAGCTTTTCCCTCCAAGTCTGGTAAGTGACTTCATCCTACACTTTATTATCTTACATATTTTCACTCAGCTCATGGATTCCTTACACAAATAACATCATATTTGTTACTAGATCTTCGAATCCTCAAGTATCTCCCAAGTGTTCTTGACTTGGAAACCCTTTTTCTTCATCATCTATCTACTGAAATCACTCAAGGTGAGTTCATACCCTAACATTTTCATCTTTTCTTCAAATTTTAGGGGGAGAATACAAGTTAAAACACCAACAACATAACTAAACTCAAAAATCAGCTTTCAACAGAAAAGTTAATGTTCATTCACGAACTGTTTTGGACATCTTAAACTTTTTACTTTTCAAAACTATATTAGGTGAAAATATTTCAGGTTTATACCTTTAAAATGACTACTTGCACATGTCCATACGATTTTTCTACAATTTATTGTGATTTTTACAAAACTGCCTATCACTGTAGTTACGAATTTAGACTTGTCTGTAAATATGAACATTTTCACACCAATTAGGAGCTTCTAAAAATCATAAAAAAAATTGTGAACAAACTAGACACATTTTATAAACTATCAGAGCTTACGGATCTGGTTTTCGATCTCGTATGATTTTTCTAAATCAATGTATAAATGGTAAAAACAACTTACAGATTACAACTTTATTAACACTTTGTAACATGTTGAGCAAAGTGTAAATCTTTGATGTCTTCACAATTTTCATGTGTTATCTGTCAGGATAAAACTATATTAAAAAAAACGTTCACTAAATTGTAATAACTATTTATTATTACAATAAATGCATGTTGAAGCAACATCCACATAATTACGTTTAGCTATATAATCTACTTATACAGAAAATGAATATTATACATTACGAACATTTTGATAAACTATAATAGGTATAGTTTATTTTACATAACATTACAAAAGAGTACATTTCTACAAACAAAAAGGGGTTTTCAATTTCACACTACGTAAATCTGTTAATGAATAAATTTGTGAGACATTCGCTTCACGTTATTTCCAAAGTAGCACAACAAAAGTCCTATAATTATAACCAGAATCTCTTGTAAGGAGAACGTGATAGTTGTGTATAGATCTATATTGGGTTTGACAAACCCACACCTTAGTTGCATGCAATAGCCAGACCGGCAGGTTTGGGGTGACAAATGTCATTAACATTTCGACGCCTGAAGAACGTCGTATACAAGGCCAACTAAGTCATAGTATGGTTATAATAACTCACATGGGGTATTAACAAACATAAGATTTACGGGATTTCCATTTAAACTAACAAGTTTATGTCGATTTTAACTTGCATGATTCACGATTTTATATGGAAAAATACTAGTATACTATTAGTCTTGACATTTAAGACTACAATACATTTTAAAAGGGAAAATATTGGATTTTTTTTGGAACAAACACTACTTTTACAAAGAAGGGTTTCAACATTTCATTCAAAAAGCTTATGAACTCACCAACTTAATTGTTGACACTTTTTCAAAACTACTTGTATTCTCAGGGAATCAATAAAACTAGTAAACAACGACTTTTGAGGATGGAACGCTAAGACGTCAATCATTGTATTTTTGTCAACATAATGTAATTGATTTAGAAACATGTAAACTCATACTATGACGTAACTTTTTCAATTATAATTATGTTGGTTGTTTGTACTTTGAGCACTATCATACTCATTGTTGTGATACTATACATGAAGTTCTCCACCCCCGAATGTTTCCGTCATCTTTGGTTTAGGGGTGTGACAGATTGGTATCAGAGCATTGTTTATAGTGAACTTAGTATATCAAACAACGTAAGATATATAAGCTCTAAATGTATTGGGACTAAAAGTCTCTGATTAAACAATTTTCAAATAACTATACTTTTGGAAATGAAATAGTTTCGTTATAAAAAGTATAAGTACGTACATGCATGCCAGTATAGTGACACATCTAGGATAAATCACGAAAAGTAAAATAAAAATGGATGAGTTGTACACTAACATTATGCCTCGGGGTATGTACTCAAGTCTAGGAGGAATATAGTCTAATCAACTATATTCGTCCGAGAAGTGACTAGCATATGTCGGGGGATAGTTGTAGTGGGCAACCAGTCCATTAACCTACCAACCCTCATACAAGAACCGCAATTAGAAACAAACAAATATTTAAAATATTATAGAAGTATTTTATGTTACTAAGAGTACAAAAATATTTTGTTTATGAGCCTCTTACACCCCTATTGTCCAAAATACCCTTTGGTCACACTTGGTCAAAACATTGGTTAAAGGTACTGATGAGCCTCATACTTCTATCTAGTTAATTTTGGCTTAACACATGTCAAACTAAAAATCATAATTCATGAAAGAAGTCTAAAACATCACTTTTCCCATTTTACCACTTAACTCCAAGACACAAATCAAGGCTTTAATCACTATCCAACATTGTCATCATCCAATAAGGTCTAAAGCCCATTTCATTAAAGTCCTGACCTTTCCTAAATTCATTTATTGTTCACAATCCTGAAATGTGATGTCTTGTAGAGCTCAATTACCATACAAAAACTTTGTTCTATATATTTTTGAAATTTGAGAAATAAAATAACCAAAAAGTTCGAAACTTGTAATTTTTTTAAATTGTTTTTTTTTTTTTTTCAAAAGCTAAGTTCGAAAATTATTTCTTCTGAAAAATTGTTTGACATTCCAAACTCCTTGTTTCAATAGGTTGAATAATTCATATATAATTCAAATATTTTTAATTTTTTTGATTTTGGAATTTATTTTTCATGTTTTTAGGTTGTTCCAAATTTGTTTATATTCTCTAGGTTGTTCATTAATTTCAAACCCGTTATTCACGTTAGATATACATAAAAATATATAGAGAAGATAGAAAAGAAGGGAAAAAATTAAAAATCCAATCTTCTTCATTCAAAATGAAGATTTAAGAAGACGATTAGGGAAAATATATATATATATATATATATATATATATATCATTATTATATACAAAAATGTTTTTGTCTTAATAAGGGTACGTATAATTCACGCACGTCTTTTCTTTGGCGCGTGTTATTGACGCTAACCTTTATTTTTTTGGGCGTGAATTTTTTAGTCGGCTTAGGTATCGTGAGTCATATAGTAGCTTTGCCACTTCTTCTTCCAGAGATCTCGATGGTGATGGCAGTGTCGACTTCATCATAGTCCTGAAATCCATTTAAAACATAATATCAAATTTGGAGTTACAAATCCAAAATCAAAACCAAAATAGATGCCAAAATTACTTCAAAATTGCAGTTAGAAATCAATCACTAATTCCCTGCTAAGTTTTCCGTTTCTTGGCTAGCCTTCTCATTTTTTTTCTTTATTGCATTTAACACACACGTAGATACACACATATCTGCACAAACAGGTACCACTTTAACCCTTTGTTCTTATTCTTGTACATACACCACACATGGATATACATATACATATACATATACATATACATACCTGATGTATCCATACACACAATTGGCTTCAATATTTCTGCCATTTTAATATTAAGCAAAGTATAAGAGAGAACCACAGGTTCTCCAACTTGCCTATTATTTTCAACCATCACACACTTCATCAAAATGTATAAGTCAATAACTCATGATTTTCCACATCATTCAACACTAACACTCCATTAGTTCCACAACTTCTCAATGATAATCACAATTTTTAAAATATTCAAGAAATGAATCGAAACCAAAGATAAATAGAGAAAAAGAAAGAAAGAAATAGAGAGAGGATAAGTAAAACCTGGTTAAGAGCTTTCGATTGATAATCATTTTGAATAATATGACCTGCATAAGAGAATGAAAACAGAGTTAAGAGCAAAAAAACCCAAACTATGGATATGTTATTTACATCCAAGATCAGTCAAAAAGTTAAGAGCTCTCGTTTGATAATCATTTTGGATAATATGAACTGCAGAAGAGAATAAAAACAGAGTTAAGAGCAAAAAAACTCAAACTATGGATTTATTATTTATACCCAAGATCAGTCAAAAACATCATAGTTCATTCACAAGATAAAAAAGAAATAAAGAAATCGACATGTATATGTATTTCAAAACCTTGCAACCCTTCATCTAAGATTTTCACATCTAGGTTTGATATCTGAAACCCTAGATGATGTATTGCTTTCTCTCCCTCAGGATGTTGATAATTTCAATTTTTTGTTTGGCCAATAAAGAAAGATGTTATACAAAATTAGATAGAAAAGAGAAAAGTGAGAAGAGAATGGGAAATAAAAAGATTTAGGTAAAACTAACTGCAGGGAAACCTCTTGAGTTTCTAACGATTAAAGCAGCGATGGTGGTGTTGATGGTGGTGCGGTAGATAAACAAACGACTCATGGGTGGTTGATCGTAGCATAATGAAAACCGTAAAAATAAAGTCCAACAAAGATAAAGAAACAGATTTCAAAATACCAAAATCGAGAGAAACATAAATTAATCTTACCTTCATAACAGACGTCGATGTAGCCGAGACGTATCCAGGCCTTCTTCCTTCGGTAAGGTTTCCATCAGTAGAGGATTTATAGTTTCAATATGGTGATTAACAAGGATAGGAACAAGACGGATTTAGGAGCAAAATTGGTTAGCTTTTAGGTTTTGTCAATGCATACCATTAGTGACGACGGTAGTTTTGGTTGCTGGTGGCATCTAGGGCATTTAGAGAAAACGGGGAGGGAAGTGTATCCTCTTGATTCAAACCACCTCTCCTTCCCTGGGCTCCGATGTATCGTTCTTTTTGCGTTTAGATTTTTCAACTTGATGATTAATTTGGAATGGATACTTGTGGAATAACAATAGGGTCTGAAAGGCTATAGGGGCGGAAGCCAAAACCAAACCCTAAATCGCAGTTGAAGAATGAGAATGATTTATCGAATAAACCTTATCGAGGAAGGAATACAATATTTCATAATTGAATTTTACGTATTTTCGGGATAAATGCATATGATTGAGCGAGAAAGACGCAGAGACACGGGATAAGGCTAGCCGCATAAAACTGTTGTACATGGTGTTGTAAAAGTTATACCTCTTAAAATTCAAAAAATGTTGAATATGCTTTATAATATAGTTAATATATATATATATATATATATATATATATATATATATATATATATATATATATATATATATATATATATATATATACTAGCCGTATACCCGCGCAAAGCGGCGGCGAAAAATAGTTACTCATTCGGCAATAAGTTCTATACAGAAACATGTTAGATTTCAAGTAACACAAAACATATGCATATTGTTATCAATCGGTTTTACGACAACAAATAAATGTAACCCTCGCAATACAAAAGAAACTAAATATTTTGGTGTTTAGTGTACGTTTATAGTCCTTCATTTTAGAAATTAGGGCACATCCAATTTATGCTTTTGGAATCCATTATACACACATTGTGTGCAGTTTGCAATGGTCCGAACGTCAACCGATTGAAATTTAAAGAAAAAAATTACAATTTTAGAATTTAAAAAAAAAAACAATTCCAAATTGTGTAAGAGAATTTGCATGTAGCATTTACGAGCTGTTTGGTCATTCAAGCATTGTTTATACATAAGGCATTGAAAGTTTGTAATGTTATCGCCTACTACTTTCGAAGTGTATTGCTTAAAAAAATATATTGTAAGAAAATGAAAACAAGAAAACAAACAGGGAATACATAAGTGATAAGGAATCTCAATGAATTAGATCAGGTGAGTCATGACAGTCAAACAATGCAATAAGAAAATTAATATATATACCAGATCTCAATTGACATGTATAAGAATCAGGGTACATATATTCCAAAACTTTAGTTGACTATATATTAGCTTGAACATTCTCTATTGTATACCCTCCACCTCCATTACCTACAAATTGAGTAAAAAAGAAATGTTAGGCCTGACATTATTTGTGTATAAGCAAGTCTGTGAAGCAAAAAACTCATTCAATATTTTAAAAATCAAATTCAAATATAAACACATGTGTGCACTCCTCAATCAAACCCATTTCTGAAAGAGGGGGAGGGGTTGGGGGAATATTATCAGTTTTGAGAGAAATAGTAATGTCATTAATATCTTTTGCAACAAAACAACCTATTCTTCAAAATTTAAGACACACTAAGCCCATTAGACTCGACAACCTACATGTATAATTTATAAAAATGATTGTTTTACCCTATTCTCGGTTCATCTTATTATTCAATAAACATAATAGCCAAATTTAATTACATTCAGAACTTCTTGCTTCAGTGACCATCACAAGCTACAAGATATGAAGAAAAAAAACTGAAACTAAATCATAACAACTTACGTATATGATAAACTCGCCACCACCTGTGATAAACCTTGAGAGGCATAACCCACATGAGTAACAACAAAGCCAAAAAAAAGCTTAAAACTGAACTCCCTTTACCGTGTTACCTCCGAAAAATATGGACGTGTCCTGATTCACCCAAGCTGTTGTTGCATGCTATTTTTCTTCAACATTATCTTCAAAACTAAGATTATTATTGCACAATAGCCATAAATGTTGAAGAAATGAGTCAAAAGCTATTAGTCCACTATACACTTTTGATGCCCAATATAGTATATAATATATCCCGTATCAAACATGAATGCGTAACAAATACTCTTTATTATTAAAGGAAAAAACAGACTATTTGTGATTATTTTTCTGAAATAGATGAAGCCGGAAAAAAACCTAAACTAATACCTGAATTTTTTACTAATAATGGCTTAAAGAATCATTTTAGGAACAATTTAGAACAAATACCTACATGATCATTATAGAATCCGATAGATTGTGGGAAATAAAAAAAAAATCATAGTTCAAGACTTTTGAACTCCTTTAGTCATCATATAATAAAATAGACACTAAAAAAAATTAGAAAATATGAAATCCAAAATATAAGAAAAAGAGATGCTACCAGTTAGGCTTGTGATGACTGGTCGAAGTTCCTCTCCCCATTGACTTAGACTGCTCCATGACTGACAAGCTGGTGGAGGAGCAGGATATAGAGGCGAAGTAGATTCAGATCGTCCTTCAATGACAACACATAATAGAAAGGCTTCAAATTTCTTAACAAACAATTTGAAATATTATAACTAAACTCATTTTCGGTGAAGTATTACCCTTAACTGAAGTAAAGCCTGTCGAGAAATATTGAACCCTTAACAACTTATTTAACACAAAATTATGTATCAGATCTCTCAAGTACTTAGAAACCAAATATCATACAAGACAATAGATTTGTGCAGAGTAATAGTGAAGAGAGAGGTTCGAGATTCTTGCATGCAAAATTTGAATAGAAACTACTTGGTGGTGAATCGATGCCGGTGGTTTCTGGATGTAGATCCAGATCCATGGTTTATGGATCTATAATCATGTTGAACTATGGATTTCATCTCTCTTTTCTCTGTTGTTGAAATGTATTCATAGCTCCACAAATATGTTAAAGTTGAAAAAAAAATACTGTATATAATAAGCAAATGACTTTAGGATGAAATCGTTGCACAAAATCATATTGCAAATTATAATTAAATTAACAAATCCTCGTGTATCTTCTCATTGGTTATTGGGGTATATCCATATTTGTAGAGCAAAACCCTACACAACCATGAGGAAATCTGAAAGAAAAATACGTGAACCTAAAATCAGAGAGAGCTAAAACATAAAACATCAAGAAATTTGAAAGCCTAATACCAAAAAACAAAACACCTTAATCAGAAAAAAGATAAATCAGAAAAACCCAAGAAATCAAGATTATTCAGAAAAAGGATAAGAATCAAGAGCCACACACGAAAGGATAAAGTTCAAAAACTTTCAATTTAGTTTACACCATATCCGCCTTCCAGAAATCTAATGATTCAAGGTCTATGATTTTCTTTATATATCTTAGATAATTGAAGTCATAAATCTGAAATATGTTTATGATTAAACATACCAGGTCCAGAACATGGAATTGATGGTGATATACGGCTAGGGTTTTTGATGCAAAGGGAGATGGAGGGACTCGATAGAGTGATGGAGAATGAAGAGTCCGAACTCATGGAAGCAAACCCACAATCAAAACTTTAAAATATATTATTTACCTCTAATTGGATAAGAAACACATTCCTCATCTTTATACTTTAAACCCCCAGGCCCCAATAAAACTCCAACTTGTTGCCGCCAATCCTTTAATCACTTCTTCTGTTTCTTTTCTTCACCATTTATTGTTGTTACAACTGCAAAAATATTCAAAATGAGAACAAAACTCCTCAAAATTACAAGTGATAAAGCTGTAAATTCAATTACATTTTGAATGAAACAATAGAGAAGGGGGGAGTCCATTACCTAGATGACAAAACGAAGAAGACGATTGTGATTTCCATAAAAACCCTGCAAGAAAAAATTTGAATGTGTTGCGTAAAACAACAAAACCCATAAAAATCCACAAAGAGAGAGGGTGGGCTTGTTACCTGGAGGACAAAACTGAGACAATGATGGTGATTTTAATATCTTATCTCAGCATTTGATCCTGCTAATACGATTATACGAACCTGTTTAAT